CGCATTATCTGCATTATTTTAAGGTAAAGTTAATTAGTAGAATAAAACAATTTCAACATCTTGTTTAATTACTACCTGTTCATCCGGTTTTTCGGGGTTACCAACGGTTGTGAAAAAAGCAAGTGAATGGATGAAATAAGGAGCGACTATTGGTGGGCTTAAACCCAGGTCGCGTCTCAGCCCATCGCCTCTAAAACCCACATTTGCTTTGAGGAAACACACGCAGAAGTTGGGTACCGAGGCATGCAGTATCTGCTTTTAATGTCTTTTGCTTTTCGTTGTAGTTTAGTTTCTTGTAATTTTGCTGCTCAAGTTGTAGCTCGGATTTATACATAGCTCGTAGGTTAATTTTTTATATTTGATACAATTTACTAGTTTTCAATCAATCTGGCTACAAAAGTCACTTCCTATCATCCAGGAGTGGTTTAAAGTAATTTATTTACCTGTTCTCGGATTAATCCTTGTTTAAAGTTAGTTATTTACATGTTCTTGGAATCTTTACACAATACTTTCATTTAAGTTGATGATGATGAGAATTGCAAAAATGAAAAGAGATGCTTTTATTTGTTCTCTAGTTTGGTGTGTATGGCAGGAGCGTAATGAGAGACTTTTTTCTAATAAAAGGAAGAAGTCTCTTGAGCTATTAAACAAAATCATGACTTTCTCAACCTTTTGGCTAGGTTCTAAGATTGCTTCTGCTCAGGCTACCAGACTACAAGAAAGAAGAAGGAAGAGGAATGCTGATAGTTTGCAAGTGGTTGGAGCTGCTGGAAGAGAAAACAAAGATTTGGTGCATGCGGTGATCCAGCTTGAATGATTTGCAATCAGCTCGGTCTTGATATTGTCTTATACCTGATCTTTAAAACTTTCTTAAAGTTGGATTTGGTTTACTTTTGGTTTTTGTTAGCAGCTATTAGGTCCAAATCCTTGTGGAGGGATTTATGGATGGGTACAGTGTGGTGTTTCTTCATGCTTTGTAGTTTTTTGTAGTGGCCTTCAGTACACAATTTTGGTTAGGGGTGTGTATTTTCATGTAACAACCACTTTCGTTAATATTTAGCTGGCTGGATTACCTTTGTGGTAATCCATCCTTTTTCTAAAAAAAAAAAAAAACTTTCATTTAAGTTGATTTCACAGCAGTAGGGGTATCTTAGGAAAAGATAGTGCAAACATTTAGGGTGGGTTAAACAATGAAGCCATAAAACTCTGACGAATCAACTCGTCAGACCGCCTTCATATCTTCATCGACTTCATTCTTTTCAAGATCACGTGATCTCAAACCGCAATATTGGCTTTCTTGTACAGTGAAGACTTTCTTTCAACGGATGTGCTCCCTATTGTCTAAATCACCTATCTAGCAGCCAGCACGCTGATGTTAGAGCAAACACTACCCTTTGATTATTAAAAAAACATTTATTTTCTATTGTAATTTTTTAAGATTAATACGAAAGTTAGTTATATCGATATTAATAGATTGATATAGATAAAAACACATACAAAAGTGTTATATATTGAGCTAAAGATTGCTCTTAATCAGAATAAATTTGACATAACCCCCCTTTACGTTTGATTTATTTTAATATAGCCCCCTTAAACATTAGAACTGTCACTTGACACTTTTAACTTTTGCGTGTTTCGGAAAACCCCTCAAACGTTTTCAATTTTGTCAAGTAATCCCCCTAATGATTTAAATGAACTAGTAAAGGACCAACGTGCCCATTTCAAGTTAACACTCTACTTATTAAAGCAATTAATCATTAATTGGATCAATTAAATTTCTAATCTAATCCTAATCCTAACTAAGGGAGAGTATTAAAAGTTTACCTTTAAATTATTAAAAATGAAAGGGTTACTACATTAGGGGCATTTTGATCATTTGGAGGCACATGATTTTCACTTGTACGCTTAGATCTAATAGTGTAGACTATGTAGTTAGGGGGGTCTAACAAAACCTGAGGGCTAAGTGACATTTCTAAAGTTGAGGGAGTTTATCTTAAAAGTGACCAAACTTAAGAGGGGCTAAATACCATTTCAAACGTTTAGGGGGGTTATCTTAAAAATTACCAAACTTAAGGGGGTTTTCTGAAACTTAACCAAAATATTAAGGAAAGTTTTCCGCGAGAAGGAAGCTGTACCTTCAGAATCCAGCCTGTGGCTGTGGAAGATCATCATTTTCAAGACTAAATCATCAAGTTTGCTTATAAAGGATTCTTTTGTCTTCTCTCCTCTCGCCTAAACAATTCTATGTGATTAACTAATCCACTTATGATTTAATCAGTTGATTAACACTGAAGAACCAAGGAAGCATCCTCTCAAGTTCTATAACCGTACTTTCTTAGTACCAAACTCTAAAGATACTTTTTTTCCTATCTTCTTTTATTGATCTCTATACTATACGTGTCCTTATGCCAACATTTCCAATTTGTTAATGTTAAATTCTTAATGACAAGCAACATGTAGTTAGTGTCGATACGCAACCAATAGGCAGCTGTGTCTTCTGCCTTGGAAACGTACTTCTTTATTAACCAACTCTTAATTTTTTTTCTAACTACCTATCTTCTTTTATTGATCTCTATACTATACGTGTCCTTATGCCAACATTTCCAATTTGTTAATGTTAAATTCTTAATGACAAGCAACATGTAGTTAGTGTCGATACGCAACCAATAGGCAGCTGTGTCTTCTGCCTTGGAAACGTACTTCTTTATTAACCAACTCTTAATTTTTTTTCTAACTA